GGGAAATTGGCATTGACTGACTGCCGAAGTTGCTCAACAAAGTGTTGATAACAAAGAAAATATCAGACGAATGGAGGAAAAGTATTGTGGTACCTATCTACAAGAACAAATGAGATATACATATTTGTGCAAACTATCAAGGGATCAAGCTTATGAGCCATACTATGAAGCTTTGGGAGAGAATCATTGAGCAATGACTAAGGTATGAAACGAGTGTATCTGTAAACCAATTTGGTTTTATGTCAGGAAGGTCAATAACTGAGGTTATTTTCCTACTTAGGCAACTGATTGAAAAGTTAGAGCGAAGGGAAAAGACCTCCACATGGTCTTTATTAATCTAAAAAAAGCTTATGATAGAATACCTCGAGATTTGATTTGGCAGTTGTTAGAAAAGAAAGACGTCTCTAGACACTACATCAACTTGGTGAGAGATATGTACAATAGCGCGCTAACTAGTGTAAGAACAACTACTAGAGAGAGAAAGCCATATTGGGTTTGGTGCCATTAATGGTTCAGATTCCATGTTTTGAAAGCCCTAAGATATACTTAGTTATCCTTTAAATATTAATATCAAATAGGTTTGCAAATAAATAGAATAAGTCAATGATTAGGGCTCAAAAGGATACCACATCATTAAATGAAACAAAGACATTGTATCATATTTCAAGCCACTATTTTCTACATGTTCATGTCACAAGCCTGGTCATACCTTCCAAATTCAATGTGCTAGACTAATTCTATTACTGACCGTTAGCTTGCAAATGACCATTTAAAGGTTCGCCCTGTCAAAATCGAATAAAAAACAAACTGTTGGTAATCTGATCAAAAGAATAAGTAAATAGCTTGTTCAATTAAAAAAAAAAAAGGCATATGCACAATGAAATGTGGATTATGAAGATCAGACTTACTATACTTGATAATTGCTCCCTTATATAGTACATGGACTTCAACATGGTATCAAGGGTATCTTTTGCTAATTGGAACTTGACCTCTCTTTCACTTGAGGGGGACTGTCGAGTATCATCTTGAAGCTGCACAATGTTAGGTTGCACAAACAGAATCACATAACAGATAAAGGAACTTCTAAAACTAGGATCACATACTATAAATTCAATGCCGTTTATAAAAACTATAGTCCATTGTGTCATCACTATTCAGTGAAAAGAGGGGCAGTGATACAGTAAGACAAATCAGAACAAGAAATGATGCTATTGGTGGTTCCCAGTCACTCTTCATCATTTTATTTTGATAATCGTGATCCAAAGACAACTGTTTCTCCATCCTCAATTGCATTACACTATAATCATTATAGTATAGTTTCCTTCTGAACCCTCTTAAAACTTACTGTTACTATATATCCAATTACTGTAATTATATATCCCCATAACAATAGGGAATCATACGTCAAAGACTCAACAAGTCACTTAGGTATGACTTTCCCCAGAAGACTCCATGATTTCCAAAAACTGAATCAGCACCAGAATCACATGGTACATTAGCACTAAATTCACTTCTTCTTCTTCATTGTGAACACAATAATCAGAATTGATTTAAGAATGAGTATGATTTTTCTTGTTTACATAAATGAGTCCATGTGCATAAGATTACAGCAGTGTCAATACGAGGCCACTGCCAAGAATGCATTTAGTACCCCATTTCTGGCCAGGCAATAGCTTCTTTATTAGTCCCGTTCCATACATGTCTGAATTACACCACATCGCTCCTAATCCAGTGACAGTACCATGTTCTTCAAAAACATAATGCAATTGCCAATTCAGGACTCCATCTCACTAGCCCACGAATCACATTACTAGATTCCACTTGTGACTATTTGATTCGATTTTTTGTCCAAAACTCCAAAACCATAGACCTTGGCCTCATTCGACCTATAGATATGAGGAGGACCAGAATAAGTGAATCAAATCTTCCCTGATGATCCCTTGGGAGTCCACCCACCCTCCCAAGACCTTGATTTGCCCTGGAGGTCTCATCAAAGTTCAGCTTCATTATACCTTCAAGGGAAGGACTCCACTTCATTGATTTTCTATTTGTTGATTTGTCTTGTCCAAGCAATTTCCTCACCTTCTCCTTCATTTGTTTAATCATTTTACTTTTGTTCATTAAATACTTTTTGTTGTTTTCCACCCATAGGAGCCACAGGACTGCCAAAATGCTTAGACTCCACTTAATGAGGCCTAACTTGGGCATCGAAGCAGTGTGGGAGTGACTTACATTTTCAGAGTTATTGCACATTAAACAGATGTGCGTGATGGGCATGCCTGTCTTCAATAGGTAATCAACTATAGTTTTTAGTTGCACTGATGCTGAATGAAGGCATAACTTGTTGTTGACTCAGTTTGGCAATAAACTAATCCAGCACAACAGGAGTGTATGTCATCCTTCTTTCCTTTAAAATTTTAAAATATTTTAGGGTTTATCGTGTAAACACACACACATACAGGCGCACACACACACACACATTTACATGGATGTAAATAGCAATCCCCAAAATAAAACATCAAAATATTTATGAACATCAGCTGTTACCATTTTGCTAACAAGTATTTATTATTTTTTAATCATAACAGCAGCAGTTACCATTAACATCCATCAAGCACCAAAAAGAACTACCCTACCTGGGAAATAAGAACAGAAGAAACCTTAAAATAGTCACGGTGTAGCTCAGATGAAGCATACCTTCAGACTAATAACAGCGACGTGATCTGTAGTTGCTGCATTTGGAGTTGCCATATTCCAAGTCATTGCTTTCAAGCGAGGCAAGGAAACCTAGACATTGACACAGTGTTCCGTAGACATATATAGCTATCAAAGTCAGAACAAATTTCTTGACACAAGCCTTTCTAATTAGCAGCACACATAGTGGTTAACCAATATCTAGTCAGTTGAAGAACTTCTTGCGAAGAGTTTTCAAACAAACTACAGTAATGTGCTTCCTGACATATAATAAAAAGCATAACCATATGAAAAATAAATAAACAGAGAAAGGCTAAGGTCGCAAAAACAAGTCTATACATCTTAGCACAAGAGTAACAGTTAAGTGATGGCTTTGTAATTTCCAGCCGAACTGCTAAGTTTTGATAAAATGCCCATAACAGCAAATTCAATTAGAATTTTTATCCAATCCACATCTTGAACTTCTTGTACCCCTGAGGACCAAAAAGCCCCAAAATCAATTCGTACAATTTCCAAATGAAATCACCTGCATTCTTCACAAGACCCTAATCTTTACCTCATTCATTCTTACAGACGGTCAAAAAAAAAAAATCTTCAAGCTAACCAATACAATGAACAAGTTTTCTAGTATAATTATTCTAATTCAGTAATTCAGAGTAACCATTGTGTGTCTTATTCTAGAACGCAATTTTTTAAGTTCATATTTATTTTAACACTTTCTACTGTCTAATGTGTGTATCAGGTGCTGCAAGTAGTAGTACTAAATGGCTGAACACGCTATACATTCAGCGAAAGCCAAAATTTAATTTGGCACTTGAGGGCCAAAATAATTGGTTTAGCAATTTCAAAGATCAGCTAGTCTGTTTTCTCATACAATTGACATAGCAAGCTGGAACAGCTATAATGCCATAAAATCAACATTCTACTTATATAGAAGCACTGGTGGAAAGCACCAAACGGTTTGAAATAAAACTCAGCAAATAACATGTATCCAATAAAAAGAAAAACTGAAGACAAAGTAATACAATTTATCTGACCTGGTCTCTGCGTGCATCATCCCTCCACTCCCTTTGGAACTTCTGAAGCAGAAGAGTGAGCAATCTTTGCAGTTCAGGCGAAACCTCAGGGGGGAAAAGCTTATTTATTTCATCTTTGCTGAAATTTTCATATACACACCTACGTATCAATATACGAAGGCATACCAATAGCTGCATAGCACGAAGAAACAAAGTATTTCAGATATTCATATGCTCAATATCCAAGAAGTATATTCTGAAAAAGGGAGGGAAAGCTGATCTTGGTAACCCATAGGATGACAGCATAATAATTTATTTCAAAACTGATCCCATGTCAAAAATAGCCCCATAGTGGAATTATTTCATCAGTAGAAAAATGAAAGAGTCTCATCATGGCCACCCCCTATCATATCAATACAGAAAGTAGCAAGAATAAAGCTTCACCAGAATTCAGAATTCTCCATGGACCTCACGCAACAATCCATCTACAAAGCCATTTCAAATTTGATATACACTATAAAGTTCTCCAACATGAAAAGAAAGACAATGCATTGTCTGGGTCTCAACTTTTAGTTAAGCAACTCAATGCCAACAGAACCAAAAATGAAAGAAGACTCAGTGCCAAGAGAACCAAAGTTGAAGTAAAAGAAGATAGAGAAATAACAGTTATTAGTTATTATTAAATTGGGAAGACCCCGGACACTGTAGCACCAGTTCATACGCATTCTCCAAGGCACCATACCTCTTCACCTAGATGAGATCCACCATGTGAAGAAAAGGAGAATGCATGATTTGAGTTTGAACTTTCACCATCGCACCACAACTCTAATGGAATATAAAGGGGAAGCAAAGAAATCTAGGAAAAGAAAAACTATTGCAATCAAATTTTGAAAGTCAATGAAAGAAGAAAGGCTCAAACACAGACAAAAATAACGGTCATGACAAAATTAAGATGAGAGAGAGAGATATTTACGGGATCGAGGTCAGAGTCGCTGGGGAGTTGGAGCACATCACGGATGAAGGCCCTGTCAGCTGGGGCAAGGCCAGTCTTGCGAGTTCGCCAGAGTGTCTGGAGTATGTACTCCACTGATTCTTTGGAGTTGGATCTCACCAGCAAAGGCAGGTGTCCCCATAGTGAATGATCCATTCTCTCTCTGTCTCTAGCTCTTCACATGCTATAATAGGCTGTCATTTCCCTTTGCTTACTGCTGCAGACTAAATAAAAATGGCGTTCAAATCTTAGGTGGGGTGCCTACTAGGGGATTGCAGTCAAGATATTATTTTGATTTTTTGCACTTGGCGTTCTTCAAAATCAGACATTTCCTTTAAAAAAGGAACTTGAATTCACAAAAATGGATCCATAAAAGGCAATTAAATTCCAGTGATGTGCTCTTCAGTCTTCTGTAGGTTTCGCTACCTAAATTTTATTCTGATTTTTTTAAATGGGGATGGGTGGTATCTTTCGAAGAAAAAATTGAGAATGGGTATTCAACATCACACATTTCCTGTTGAAAAAAAACTTGAATTGACAAAAATGAGCAGGCCAAAGGCGAAA